AGATAGATAGATAGATAGATAGATAGATAGATAGATAGATAGATAGATAGATAGATTCTGCTAATTATTGCAACTGAAGTTCAGAAGCTTTGTATAAAGTACAAGTATCTTTTCTGGTGCGTTAGCCTTCTATTCATCACAGACATTTTCCACATAATTGCTCTTTCTTGGCTCATGACACCCCGCAAGGAAAAATGGCAGTTTTCCCAGATTCCCAGCTTAAAGCACATGAATGTCCACTCCATTTCTTAAGCAGGCAGAATAACAACTTTTTAAGAAGGGAGTTTGTGAATCAACCTGCTCCCAAGGCCCACATTTTCCCTTAGAAGACTGCCAGTATAAACATGTACCATTCAGTCAAACAAGTAAGCATGTAAGATTGGACAATGGATTTAGCAATGATCGGAAAACAACTGAACAGCCCAGGGTCACAGATATGGCTATTGCAACGAGAGAAAAGAGCACAGCCCTTTTGAATCCTTAGGGTCTACAAACCAATTTGAAGGTTCTGGAGGGGATTTTGAGGGAAGAAGGATGTTCTGAGCAGACAGTCAAGAAAGCTCACGAGAGCAGTTGCTTCAGAACTGACCAAGTCCCAAATGACAAGGACTGTGGCCTACTGCTACTTCCGAGCCCAGAATTCAGAATAGACTTTATAAATAGATCATCTAATTCTTGGACTCCTTTGTCTCTACTTGCTTAGTTAAGAGTTTTCCTTGATTTTTTTTTTCAGCCACCTAATTGTTTCTTTCGCTTCCTCCCTCCATTTGCCCTCTGTTAAATTAAACTTTGCAGTTGTTGTTGTGTATCCTAAGCCAATCCTTCCTCATTTTTTTCTTTTATACCCCCTTTCAGGCAACATGGGGGGCTGACAGGCTACATGTGGTCACTCTGTTTTTTAGCCCAGCATTTCTCTACCACAGGTCACTGAAGCAATCAGAGTTAAGCTAGGAATCTGTCTTAGGGATTCAAAGAATGGAGAAACCTCCAAGTGAGATTTCAGCTATGGTACATCTTGATCAGTATGCTCTCTTTCTAAAGTCCCAATCAAATATTTACTTTTGCACTCATTTGCATAGACATAAACTGCTTTGATTCTTTATTGTAATCCTTTGTAAACAGTAATAAATGTCACTAGGATTAACCTTTCAGCTCCATGTGAGTCTGGATCAGTTCCTATCATTACTCACCCTCCGACAACACGTTACCTCCAAAAAGCAAGGGGAAGGAAATACTGTAAGCAATTTCACTCATCCCTTGTATTTTTAAGATTCCCCTTGCATAAAACTACCAGCAGGCCCTGTCTCTCAGAAGAAGCAATTACTTTTGCTAAGAAATCATTAAAATATATATATTTCTCCTTTAAAAAATATTCAGACATGAAGATGCATAGCACAGAAAACTCTTATTTTGGTAAGGAGGAATTTGACAGACTTCATCCATTTATAAAAGATCAGGATGGAATAGTAGTCTAACACAGTGTTCCTCAACTGTGACAACTGGAAGATGGGTGGACTTCAATTCCCAGAATTGTTGAAGTCCACCCATCTTCCAGTTGCAAGGTTGAGGAACACTGGTCTAACATATCCAGAGGGTAATGAATTGGAGAAAGTTCCTTTAATTCTATTCCTGTTCAAAACAGATTAGAAACAGAAATGGGTAATTCATACAGTTACCTTTTGCACCACGAGATCCAGGACGCCCAGGAATTCCTGCCAGACCTGGAATGCCATCATTTCCTGGCAAACCAGGAAAGCCTCGAGGACCTTGTGGACCAATCGGGCCTGGTGGACCAGGAGGTCCAGAGCTGGTCTCATGAGATTGGCAGTGATCACAGCGCTGCAACCTTCTGTCCCGAAGTATAATAGGCAACTGGGCTAAGAAGAATTCAGACAACAATATTTAGACCAAACGTGAACATGTCACTGTCAAGGGATGACATCTACTGACCTCAAACTCTTGGGGTTAAATTTAGATCTAGCTCAGCTAAGCAATTTACATTTGCTCAACTTTGGCAAGAAAGTTTTATGGACAGCTCATTTCACCCCACAATATATTTTCCACAATCCTTTGCTCACTGTTGAAAAACTAGGGCCAGTAAGCCATGAACTGGGAGCAAGAAACACTTTAGGCACTGGAATGCCTGGAATTTGTCCCACCAATTTTGCCCTCTAAACTCCCCATCTGTGCCACCACATGTATCCTCAACAGTTCCCACTGAGTTGGCCAGCACTTCTTCCAATAGGCAGGCCAAAAGATGCTTCATCTATGTATGTTGAACTTCAGCCCACCAAATTTTTGTCCACAGCAAGGTAGCAAACAAAAGAAATGTGGGGAAGCAGCAAAGCCACCACTCAAACCAGTCAGAAAATATCAGGGGACTGGGAGAATGAGCAGCCACTGTACACAGTACTATGTTTCAGTAACAACCCACCCATCCAGCATGATGGGACAATAGCATTCTTTATGCAACTTTATTTCAGATATTTGCTTTAAAGTGATGAGACAGTAAAAAATAGGGTGAATGTGAACTAGTGGCTATAATCAATTTATTCCAAAGGTGGGGAAACAATTAATTTACAAATGGGAAATCACTGTTAAGTCTAGTTATTAATTTTAAAAACAGAAGTATGTCAAATAGGGGGTGTAAGTTCAGATATGAGTAGGATGGGTATCATTAGGCTGCATACTTGTAGACAGGAGAGGAAAATAACATGATTTTAAAGATGAGGCTCATAATGAATATTAAGTAGTTAATTTTATTTGGTTGTGGCTTCTTGTTTTTTTAAAGTGTGGAACAAATGATCCATTTGATTATGTGGTTATGGCTTTCTTATGAATGTCCATACCCTATGGCAACCATTTTTTAGAGTGCCTGGACACCTCCTAAAATTCCAAGAGTGTCCTTGATCCCAAAATAGACTGCCTTGTCTGCCTCTAGCATAAATCAGTTCTGTTGACTGGGGACTCACTTCTCAGCACATCTGCGCAAACTTGCCGAATAAATTCTTCTGAAAAACCTCTTCCCTGCATTGAACAGAGGTATTTTAGAGAGCTTATACACATTGTTTTTACCATGAAATGAACAGCACTAAAAAAAAAAAAATCAACTGATGTACGTACAGGTTTTCCATCTAATCCAGGGATTCCTGGAAACCCCCTCTCTCCTTGTATTCCCCGTGGGCCTGGGGAACCCATCAAGCCATTCATTCCCGGTTCCCCCTTCTGGCCATGACTGCCACGGAAGCCGGGATTTCCTTTGTCACCTGTCTGAAATCCATAAACATAGCAATAGTGTGCAACAGCGGAATTTGCCATCAGCATATTAACATTCTCAGCATAGTGTGTAAAGTGGCCATTTTATAGATAAAGAATAACACAACATATTTTTATGAGTCAGTCTTGCTACTTACTGCTACATTCTTAATGTTAATATTTATGTTTTACCAAAATCCTCCCATACAGTAGATTTACATCTGAGGTTAAAGTCCAATGCAAGAATAATCCTTCATTCTTTCCCTCTTTTCATGATAAACAGTTGGGCTACTGCTTACATTGTTATGAAAACTGGAAAATATTAAATTCCAGGATCATAAGAGATATAAAAAAGAGAGAAGCAAGATGAACTGTATTTTGTTTCAAGATAATTAACTCATACAACTGCTGTACTAAATCAGCCTTTCCCTGTTTGTTGCCACCTTGATGTTTAAGAGTTGGAGGTTTGCTTGAGAACTCTGGAGAAAAATGCACGGAATGATATGCAAACATAGGGGTCAACATTTTGAAGCCAAATGACCTCAGTGCTTCTTCTTACAAGAGGTCACTGTGGATGCAATCTGATACAGATTTTGAGAGCACTTCAGTTCATGCACTTCAATGGCTCCAACATACACTTAAGCCTATGCTGGAAAGTCAGTCAAGGACTATATATTTTTTTCTAAATAGAAAGCCAAATCCACCCCAACTGCAATGGAACAAATACTTGGGTAGACCTGTTTTGTTTTACTATTGTGACTGTGATTAGTGGCACATACTAATCCTGTTTTAAATTCCTTGCCAGATGGAATAATCCAAAGCTACAGACTAATCTGCAGATCCAAGATGGTCCTTAACAAACTGAAGTCATTTCTCTGATAAGGTATTCCCTCCTCCTGACTTTTGCCTGTCTTAGATAATATCATGTTGTGCTAAAATAACAATCTGAAAGGTAGCCAAGCACATTATAGATTGAGATATCATTCTGGCATGGACTGTTCTTTCCTCTTGGCTATTTATTTGGTAAGGTAGAACATTTAAAGCAGCTTTTTGAACTTCTGAAATTCTGACAAAGTGTTAACTGTGAAAAACTGAAAAGTCTGAAAAACTTGGCAAGACTCACTCTAAAAGAACTGGAGCATGGCAGTCTTCTGAAAGCTACTAATCTCCTATTCATGACCTTCACTGCCAACCCTCACTGTTTGGCTCAGATAGTTAAAAAATGGATAGAAATGCTAATCTTGTGATTGGAAAAACTCTCCTCATATTCAAATAATATAATATAGATTACAAGAAGAAAAATAAAACCAAGTAAAATAATTGTATGGTATAAATGTCATAAAATAAAATGGTAGCTTTCAAATGCATAAGAGGCATTCATCAATAAAGTATGCATACAGCTTTGGACTAGCACTGGGGAGATCGCCTCTCCACTGTGAAGATCACTGGGTAATCTTGGCCAAATCTATGCTGGTCTTTGACCACAATAAAGATCTGATTTGAATTGGCCATATCTTTCTCTAATATCCAAAGCTACCAACTGGGTTATAAGAATAAAATAAGAAGGGGAAAGAAAAAGATGATCCAAGCTCTGTGCTTCTTGGGAGGAAGAGTAAGACTCAAATACAATAACTAAAGTTGAATGCAGAGATTTAAAAAAAACAAAACAAAAAAAGCCATGGTATCAAAACTATAACCATTAGAATATAGCAAGTGTTACCTGCAAAAAGACACACTTTATAAAATCAAAGGAAAGAAAAGGTTGATTTATATATCAGTTATCATGGATAATAATCTTTGATTCATATTTATATCAGGTGACAGTGAGGTAAGCCAGAACTATTAGCAAAATTAACAGTTGCTTACTCTCCCTTCGGGTGCATATGTTGCCTTAAGCCATGGCCTGCTTAACCATGGTTGGTTGAATAAGCCAACTGACACGATTTCCCACCATTTCAACTTAGGAAATATATGAATGCTCTAGTTTAAGCCATATAAAAGATAAATCATAGATTAAAACAAGATAGAGGAAGCATGGAGAGCATGGCTTTACCAGCAGTGGCCTTAAGAGATGTCTGTATTTTCTTCTGTATATCATAGTAATGTGTTGTATCTGTGTGCATGTACAATTTCTCTCTAACAGCTAGTGATAATATGTACATGAATTTCCTTTATATGTGTGAGAGAGAATCTAACAAGGGTGGGCACATATGTGTTGTGGCTCTCCCGTTGTGTTTGTGTGTCTGTTTGCTCTGACAAGCACAGGGGGGACTGCAAACGCTCTACTCTGTGTCATGTGATACAACAGAGGGGGGCTTAGAATGGATCAGGTAGCAACATTTGAGTCACTGCCCAACTGCCTCTTCTCTAAAGATGCAGTGGGAATTTTTTTCTCTGCAATCCCTGTTTGGATGCAGCCCATTTTTGAACCTGATCTTCCTTTTGCCCCCTTCTCTCCCCACATCAGTTTTGATCTCACCCTGTTCAGTTTTCAGAGAGTTGTCCTGCTGACAAACAACCAGAGACTCAACCCTCAAAAAAAAAAAAAACCCAGCCAGCCCTAATACATGTGCCACCTCTCTTCTTTATCAAAGGCAAAGTGGGAACAGGCATGGCTGCTTTAAAGACTTGTCAACAAGTGCTACTTCCATGCAAAAGCATTTTTTGCACACAGGTAACACACATACAGAAACACATATGCACACACCCTGATTAGACCTTGGGGAGAAATAGCATATACATAAAAGCATCTTTGTGCATGAGAATCCAAAGTGTTGCACAGCCCCAGATGGTCCCATAATTCTAAATTTATTGTTCTCTGTTAACCAACACACTGCCAAACTTGATTGGTGTACTGGATGTTGTATTCAAAATCCAACAAGTAGTCAACATCTCATAAGGAGGAAATTTCTAAGTGAGATATTTCATTAACTTTTGCTTTTCAGATTACAATTATGTTGAAAAAGAAATGTGCTTGTTTAAGTTTGCAATGTAGCTGAAACAAAAGAAAACCAGTTATTTAGCATTCTTCTCACTTTTTGAGAATCATTAATGGGGTAGGTGGCAACCTCAACTGACTTTGTTTAAGCTTGAAAGTTAAGCAGAATAAGGCCTGGCTACTTCTTGCATAGGTCCATCCAAGGAAATACCAAAGCTGTAGGCTAAACTGGGAAGTGAAAAAGCATCCCAGAAGACAAAGGTCAATCACTTCTTTGTAAGCCAAGAAAATTACAGGGATGTGTCCATGAGGCTATCCAGGAGTCAAGATCAAACTGAAGGAGACTAATTTAATGGAATCTTCTTGACAGCTGGAATTACAGTTCCCAGAATTCCCAGTCTGCATGTTGGCCATTGGCTATGCTAGTTGGGAATCCTAGGGAAGGCTGTACTAATGTAACGTACCATGCACCTGATACTTGAGTTTGACTGATATTTGATTCTAAGACTAATATTTGAGCTCTAAGTTCAAGTTACTATTATATTAAGCAAAACTAGACTGACAAATGTACGCAATGCAACATAAAATCCATGCTCAAACTAGCAGTTGAAATACACAGAAAAGCAGGAAAAAATAAGTATAAAAATAAAAACAATACATACCTCTCCTTTATCTCCTTTTAATCCCATAGCTCCCTTTTGGAATCAAAATTGTAGAACACATTATGAGTTATTGTGAAAATGTATTATTTCTATTGACACATGGTTAAATTCACTTGCATTAAAATGTATGGTTTTAAAAAAAAACCACCAAGTTGCCAAGCAACTACAGTTACAAATTATTTTTTTCATGCTGACATCTAATATCTTGAAGTTGTTGTTTTTTTTCCCAGCAAGGAAAAATTCACTCTGCAAGATTAAGATGGGAAAAAAGCACTAGTTTAGAATCAAATGTATGGGGTTGGATCCAAAACTCCTCTTAGGAAAATTCAGCTAATAAAATATTCTCCCTTTGTGGATGCAAGTGGGCAAGAAATTGTAGCTGATTCCTCCTTCTCTCTGCAGTCACAGAAAAGATGCTCCAGTAATGGTGAGAACCTTAGAATGAAGTGGGACTGGGGTCTCCAATTTAGTTCCTGTGGAGAGCATGCCCATTGGTCCAGTCAGGCTCCCTGCTTTACCATCCTTTTTTTAAAAATCTTTTAATTAAAAATAAAAGAATGGGGAGCAATGAAAAAAAAAGCAGGCCTCTACCATATCTTTTTTTCCAAAAATAAAGGTCTCATAGATACTGATAAAAGATAAAAGTGGTAAACATCTTTGTTTAGTCGGCAGCAAGTGAATGCACCCAGGTGCCCCAAAGGTAAGTTGGGTCTGGCAGAGAACATCCTGAGGGAGGGAATGGTATCTATAAGTGATGCAGGAGAGAGCACCCCAGGTTGTCCTGTGGTAAAAACAGGCATGTTGTGACTGGCCACCTTCATCATGGCAGCCATTTATAAGAATCCAAGTACATGCTGTTAATATTCCTAACATGCCCATCAACCCAACATATTTCTAGTTTCTGGTGCGGGAAAGAGGCTTTAGAAGAATCATGAAAATCAATCCATGACAAGCTATGTTTGAGGATAAAAGAATGAAAAGAACATTTACCAGTAGATAAGGGCTCTAAGAAAGTGCGGAAAACAAAAGGATTTAATAATCTCTCTCTCTCTCCCTCTCACCTTATGGCCTGGAGTACCTGTTCTGCCTCCTTCACCCTTATGACCCTTAAAAAAGGAAACCAAATCCGTTACTGATATGAAATGGCATACACACACACATACACACAGGTTGGATCCTAACAGACTTATTCCAATTATTTCAATATACCTGGCTTAAGGATGTGGACTTCACGGACTGTTTGCATCATTAAGTTTCAGTATTTACATTCCAAATGTATAATTTATATTGTGCAAACTGCAATACATTGTTTTATATCACATTTATATTGATTCAAACAATACATACATCATACCATATGTTTATAAACCTGAGACCAAAAAAAAAAAAAATGGAAATGACAGCAGAATTAAAGAAATCTTGATTTTAAGGAATATTTAAACCAAAGGTGTAAAAACAGAGCTTAAGATATGTCAGAAAAGACATCTGAAGAGATTTTCCACAAGTGTAACATCAGATAGGACTTTCAATAAAATATATACATACTCATTCAAGCAACAAACCATGATGGTTTGGATGACTGAGAAAGGGCCTTAATTAGTTTGATATAATAGGTGGCTATGCCATGCTTCAATGCCTCTTGTTCATATTTCATTATGTTGAAATCTTAATAAAATACAGTGCTAACACATCATATTAAGCCTAGATTATGCCTTAAAAATGCCAACTTGCGCCAACTGGATCCTCCAATAAGTACTCTTAGCTAACAAGCTGATCATGGCTTGTTTATGTCTACAAAAGCATACTTAAGATCCTGAGACAGTGGCTTGTTCTGTCTAGCACACGCCAGAGAACAAAACCTAAAACAAACCATGGCTTTTCTGGTTGAACAATAAAGCTCAGTTTCACATGTTATGCAAACTTTGACAGCTCACATTCTGTACATCAAGCATTATTCCTAGTTATTTCAATGCTAAAAAAGACAGTGTACCTGGGTGCCTTTTTCACCCTGATTTCCTTTGTCTCCCTGAAAAGTAAAAATCTATTTCTTGTTAAACTGTCATTTATAATAGTATTAGTGAAATTAAACTAGAACAAATATGAAACAATTAATCATATTTATAGACAAGTCTTATACATATGGAAGGATTTTTCCCTGACAGCATGAAATACATTTGTACAAGGCTATGTGCAATCTCTCAAACAATCATTTGCACATCTTAAGAGCCATGCTAGTACATGGCATTACACATTTTCTTTTTTAATTCCCCATGTCTGCTAGTTCTTGCATGTCAGTTTATAAGACAACATCATTGTTAGAATTCCTTTTCATCCACATTTCTGGATTCTACTTATTTGTTTAAACAATTTGGAACAAAGATTCTTAATGCAGTAACAAAGTGTACCAGTGTATCTTTCTGCTTTGATTAAAGAACCTATGATATGAGAAGAAAATCTGAGGTCAAGAAAGGATAATGCAAGTGTTAAAAGACTTCAGATACTGAAAGATCTTTAGAAGTCACTCATCTTCAGCTGCAAATAGGATTTTACTGTTGCGTTCAGATAGGTTCTTGCCCTGCTTCCTTAATAGCCACATAAATCCTATTGAACAAAGATGTCCAGAACTGTGTAATTTTAATACTCAATTTGAGACACTTATTTCCCCAAATGTCCTCTTTGAAATCTCTTTATTACTTCAGGCTCTCTTTTATCTTCTTTTTCTTAATCCCCTTCATGGTATCGGTCAAACTTTTTATTATTAAGTAAAATCCAAACTGTTACTGATGTGTATATTTGTGTAAATTTATAATATTGAAAAGAAAAAAAGTTTATCCTAAAAAGTTATTTCAGAATATTATAAAGCTCATGGTATTTGAATAAATGTGTCTATTTGGGTACTGAATTAATGACTAAAAATAAATGTCAAAGTGGTAAGTACAATATTTCACTTCTTTTTAATAAGTAATATATTCATGGCTTGTGGAAAGATGGAAATGAGAAAAATAAGGTGGAGGGATGCAAATTAGACCTTATAATAGAAAGGTCTAATTTGCACTGTCCACCACCCCCATATGTTTCTTACATCCATCTCTCCATGGACCAAGTATGATATGACCTTGTGGAAAGATGGATATGACAAGCCTTATCATAATCTCTCTCCAAATTATTATAGCAAGCAAGCTGTTACAGAAAACTTAAATGTAATTTTCTACGTTAGAGCTTTCAGTGGCTTTCAACACCATCAGCCATGGTATCCTTCTCAACTGCCTATGAGGGTTGGGAATCAAAGACGCTGTTTGGTCCTGTCTATTTTTAAGATGGGAGTCCATTTGATGGTGATAGGGCAAGAGAAAGTGCACTTTAGAAAGTGACTTTAGCCATCCAGTATAAGGTTGTCCAGGGGACAGTTGTCCTTACATCTAGGTAGTCTTCAGATCATGACAGTAATTGGGACTGCAATTTTCATTGTTAAGCGATGTGGTCATAAAGCACAATGTCATGTGACTGCATCGCTTAGCACGGTAATCCCTGCACTCCCAGTTGCCATTGTTAAGTGAGGATCACAGGTCATTAAGCAAGGACCTGCTTCCAGGTGAGGAAGGGTGTGCAAGTGGTTGACATGGCACTTGCACTACAGGGTTGGGGTGGCTGCTGCCAGGTGGGGGAATGTGCCTGAAAGTGCATGGATGGCCACTGGGGCACAGCGTGAGGGCTGGGGGTTGCTGGGTTTGCAAGGATGCATGAAGGTGCACAAGTGGCCAACATGGCGTGAGTTCAGCAGAGCTGGGGATAACTGCTGCCAGGTTGGGGAGTGTGCACGAGGGTGTGCAGGTGGCTGTCAAGGCACAGCGTGAGCATGGCAGGGATGGGGGTGGGTGCTGGCAGGTGCGTGGGTGGCCACTGAGGCATGGCGTGAACACAGCAAGCTGGGGATGGCTGCTGCCAGGTCTGGAGGGGGCACAAGTGGCCATCAAGGTGCGGTGCAAGCGCGGTGGGGCCAGCGGTACTGCAGGTGCTGTAGCCAGGCTCCTTGGGGGGGAAAGCCAATGGAGTGTGAGAGACTTACCAGAGCGACTTGTGACCTTCCCTGCTGGCTTCCCCATTAAGTTTGTTCATGGGAAGCCGGCAGGGAAGGTCACAAATGGTGATCACGTGATGCGGGACACTGCAGCCATCATAAGTGCGAGATGGATGCTAAATGCTCAAATCGCGATCACATGACCACAGGGGTGCTGGGATGGTCAGAACTTCGAGGACTGGTCATAAGTACTACTCATTCAGCGCTGTCATAACTTTGAACAAGCACTGAATGAATGGTCGTTAACTGAGGACTACTTGTATTTAACAATTCTACAAGGCCACTGAGAGAGGTCAGCTGCTGGTCCATGGTTATATATCATTATTATGTTGATGATACCCAGTTATACATCTCTAGCTTGGGCCAAACAGGAAATGAATAGATGTCCTGACTCAGTGTTTGGAGAGTACGAGAGGCTGGATGGGTCAAAATAGGCTTAAAGTGAACTCCAGTAAGACTGTTCAGAAACCATCTCGGCCCTTAGAAATTCCAACTTTGGCTATGTTTAAGTTGTACTCCCCCTGAAAGAATAGGTGTACAATCTGGAGGTTCTCTTGAACTCATAGTTCTTGCTGCAACAACAGGTGGAAACCATGGCCAGGAGAACCTTTGCCCAGCTTTTCAGTCTTTCTTGAAGCTGGTTATTTTGGCTATAGTGACTCACGTCCTCATTACCGCATGCTTGGACTACCACTTGTGCAGCCACTCTACTTGTGGCTGCCTTCGAAGGCTATCTGGAAACTTCCACTGGTAAGAAATGTAACAGATCATGTGCTAACAGTAAACCCAACTCAGCAGAATTCTATGGTCACTGCATTGGTTACCTACAGGTTTCCAGCTATAATTCGAAGTGCTGGTTATTGACCATAAAGCCCTAATTCCAGAACTACCTGCTCCAGAGAAAAACTCTCTGTTCTGTGTCTTTGAGCAAGGAAGGCATGTTGTGTACCCCCACCACCACTGGAGAGAAGGGAGTGAGGACCAGGAAACATATTTTCTCTGTAACTGCCCCAGTATTATGGAACACTTTGCCCACATATAGAAAGCTGGCCACCTACCTGTTAATATTTATGAGAGAAGTGAAAGCAGTACTTTTTCACTAAGTCTTTGGCTCCTAACTTAGTTCAGTTACTTAACTTAACCCAGAATTACTGGTTGGGTTTTTTCTTATGGTTGTGTGGCATTTCATATATGGGAGCCACCAAAGTATTATGATTATAAGGGCACAAAAATGGTCTAAATTAAACAAATAAATGTTAACTAATGTTTCTTCTCTTCTAAGTAAGATCAAACACGGAATTGAATCTCTGTACTGATATTACATGGATACAACAACTGATTATAACTACATATTCATCTGAAAAAGATAACTTGGAGGTTAAGAGAATTATCTGAACTAGATGTACTTTTCACTGATAAAAGTTAGCAGTGCAACCTTATAATCTAAGAACAGTCCTAGAATTTCTGGTTCTGATGAAGGGGGGGAATATAACTACAAGTTAACTTTTTGTCTAACGGTCGTAAGAATCACTTTTGTAAGGATAATTCACAACTAAATGCTCACTGGTTCTTTGTGGATTGTTATAAAAAGAAACACAGATCCATAATAATAAACAAATAAACCAACAGGCGTACCTTCAAAGCCGGAGGGCCAGGCATTCCAGGATAGCCTGGTTCACCTGAATTACCTGGTCTTCCTTGTTCTCCCTAAGTAACAAAACAGAACTCCGTAAATATGAGATTACCTATGATTGAAGATGCAATGTTCTTGGGAAGCTTTGGCCATAATCCTGCAAATATCTGATTTGAAAGCACAGGTGGGGGATGACTTTGACTTCTTCTTTTTCTGGGCCTTCACATTACAGCTGTGCAAAATCTCAAATAGAGGTTCTTCACAATCTGAGAGTGCATGAATGAAATGCCTCTTTACAAAAGTGTTAAAGTAGCCACATCATTTATAGGGCATATGCAGCTGCCTCAGAAGCTGCTGGCTTCAGTTCCCACCTCCTCAGCGAAGTACTTCTTTCATAGCCCTATTTCACATCGCTTGTTAGAAAAGAAGACTCCTATCTTTCAGTTTTTTTCCTGAATATTTCTACCACAGAGTAAATCCCGGTGGCATCTTGACATCAAATGAGCTGTACATGGAGCAAGCTTGATGAAAGCTCGTAAATATATTCATTATTCTCAGGTTTTCTCAGGATACTGAAAATATCCATCAACATTATTAAGGAAATTGAACTATTTACATAAAAACACACCTCTTTTATCACAATCCTGATAAAATGATTTCAGAACTTGATTTATGCAAACATTTAAAGGAACTGTATTAAAAAAAAAAGTCTTGTTAAATAATAAAAAATCGCCTGATTTCTGTTACAGGCATTTAGCCAAGAAGTTCCCCACTGACCCATGACAGACAGAAGTCCAAATTGGCAATGGAGCTCTAGGTGCTTTCAACAACTGGTGTCTTTCACAAATGATAGATGAAAGTGGCTCTGGTTAAATTTTGTACAGATGTAAACATGAGCCATAGTTAAAAGTGACAAAAATTAGCATGGGCAAGGAGGTAGAAGACATGAGTAACAGTGTATGGATACTGATCCTCCAGCATAGTGTCAGGTTCGGTCAGCACGAGGTTTCAGGGAAGCACGGGGCTGCAGGGAAGCTCGC